TTTTTACAAAATACTGAAAAATAATTTTTTAACTTAAAAATTAAGGAAAAAATGATTTATTTATCGTCTGTGAGAGTTTTCTCATCGCGTAAGTAAAGTTAGGCACAAAAAAATCCGCTATTCGGATGGCTTCGTTTTATTTCGGCTGTCTCCGTAGTTTCCACCCGCCATTTGGAATATATATAGATATATAAATAGATAATATTCTAAAATTCGTCTTTATAAGTATACTACCAGTATTTAAATAATAAGAAAATGTAATAATTACTTAAAAATTATTGTTGAAATTGTGATATATACTAAGTGTTATTATTTATTGAGTGCGTATAAAAAGTAAGTAAATTTAAAACATTATGTATCAATGTGTTTTTCTGATGTAAACATCCATGTAACCTAAAAATGTAATTTGAGTGTGATTATTTATGAATCATAAATTATAAATAATAGTATTATTTAAATACGATTTATACATTTACTAACAAATTTTTATAATAAATTTGCAGGTAACCTACAACTATTTTAGTAGGTTTGAAATTTCGCGCTTGGCGCTTGCGCAATAGGCGTGAGATTTTCTCTCATCACGATATTAATGACTATGGTACTGGAGACGTATAGTCTGAAGGGTTAAACCACATCACTATTGATAATTCAATTCTTGATTGCTTGAGCTCCTGTTAGTCAGAATCGAGAAGTGGCGACAAGAATCCTTCTTGTGACATGATTTCGTGCAGTTCGGTATAAAACCAATACCTGTTTAAACGTAAAAAACTTTTCCGGTACCGGGAATCGAACCCGGGCCTTCTGGGTGAGAGCCAGATATCCTAGCCACTAGACAATACCGGATAGTTAAAGAAAGGGCTTCTACTTTTCGTTTTTTTACTACCCATATCAGCCAACTATTTGTTCTTCTCAAAAATTACGCAATAGTCTATCGAGACAGGCCAGGTCCCGCGATTGCAGGTGTGCAAATTGGTTCTATCATTGACTCGGTCAAATCAGTCGGCGTTCAACTTATCGGCACATTCCTCCACGTCTTTGCAGAACACTGCAAGCAGCAAAACCTCGACTATGGATGACATTGACTTCGCCACTGGCAGACTCACCGCCGTGCTAAACTTTATCATCACCGTCAAGACCAGAACGATCCGGCCTAGCCATATCACCCCCTGCGCTCGCTCAACGCTCTACGCAAATCTATTAAGACCCGGATCAGACAGCTTGTAGACGAAAATAAGGTGGGCACCTCAACAGACTGCTCCCGCTCAGAGTTGGAAACAGAACTTTTCAAACGGTCACGGAAAGTTTGCCACGCATGACGCCTTATCCGCGAAAGCGTCATGCATGAACGGCATTAGTAACAGGGTTTGGAGCTCCTGCCAAAGAAATTTCGGGTTTGCATCTGCGGTAGCGCTGGGGTCCTTTAGCACTGTGTACGGCCAAGACGTACCGACCAGAACCAGAGTACAAATCGCCTTTAGTCTTCTAACTCGCTTCCGTACGTACGTTCGTTGCGTGGTGAACACAGAATCGCACCATTATACGCCGGGTGTGCGTGAGTTGGGTTGCGATTTTGCTTGAATTAGTTTTTTTTCCTTTGTTAATGTGTTTTACTGATTCGGGTCAATTTATTATTAATAACTAATTGCCAAGTCCATTTATACATTTATTTGTAACAACATTCCTGCATATGTAATGAAATTATGTGATCTTCTGCAATTACGATTAAATAAATGTAGAATTTTCTGTTTAAACTGACCTAAAGTGTTGGGGCACTTACATGATGAAACATTATAATCGTCGAAAGAAAGGATAAAACTTTAAGGGTTTCACAAAACTTTCCACTCTGCGACATGTTTCGCCACACTGTTATTAAAGATGACAATTTACTGGTCAATTTATTGGACTGAAGAATTTTCTTTTCATTCAATCCTAAATATGTTAGAAACTCAGCCACTGCGAAAGAATTTGTGTTGGACAGTCATAATAAATTCTTTAATTTCGTTGCTATATATAAGTTCAAAATTGGAATTAGTTTGTCATATTAAAATTGATGCAAATTTAAAAGTAATGGTAAGAAGCTTGAATAGAAATCATTGGAATTAATTTAATTACTTAAGTATTCTTCTAGTAGTAATATTTTTTCTGTTAGGGTAAAAGAGGGTAATGGGGGTCACTTAAGGAAAAACTCAAATATAATTTCAATTATAAACAAAATAATTATTGCAACCGCCTATAAGCATTGTTTACTTAAAAAACTATTATTTGATATAATTTTCAGCCACTTTAACAATCAATTTTGGATATTATTAAAGTTTAAAAAAAAACAGGTTTGACTCCCATTACACCGACATGCGGGTAATGGTGGTCACCCTGGGGACAATCGGAATCAAACGAAATCTAGCAGATATCGCAGACATAATATTCCGCTAAGTCCCACCCAGTGCATTCCACATGAGCCCATAGCCCACATGAGGTGCATCTGAACCACATTTCATTGTTTTTTTTTAAATCGTTGCACAATAGACATCTCTTTTCCGGGGGTAGCACTGGGGGGCTAGAACGGAGGTAGGGACGCCGTTTACGCGTTACTCGCAACTATTGTTTCGTGGTTATGTGGGTGACTCCCATTACCCGCTGACTCCCATTACCCTACTCTCCCCTATAGATTATTAATTAATGCGAAAACTAATATCGTTATTGATATGGATGTAAATATTTCTTCAATGGCTTGTATTTGGCAATTATTAGACGCCTTAGAAAATTGCTTTTTCTGCAGTGGAACTGGATACGATGACAAAAAGTATTCATGAATTTAGAGACACATTAATTTATAATAAGAAAGGAAATCATTATCACTACCAAATTTTATAGATGTTCAGTCACCCGTGCGGGTATATTATTGCCGGAGGAAAGGTATAAACGAAGAGTTATGGAGTACAGATGTATCACTTGTCGAAAATTGAGACATTTGATCCAAAAACGTAAAACACTGATAACAAATGAAGAAGTTCGATGGATGAATTTTAAACATAGTTATAAACGTAGAAAGCTCAATCGAGTTGTTCAAACGGCAAAGTTTTGTTTTTATTAAAATTTTAAATTGCATTACACAATTAAAAAATATTAATTGCTAATGAGCACTGTGAAATTGAAACCGCGTAAAGTTGTATTTATGTATTTGCTTGAAGTTTTAAACTTTATGTACGACAATTTCTAAAAATGAGAAATTTTGATAATTTCTTTTTTATGAATATGATTAATATTTTTATCTTCAACGTTGGACGTTGGCGTGATCGTTTCAAATAGTTTGTATTTATTTTCTCAACATTTTTGAATGTTTCCTTTTTAGAATAAGTATTTAAAATGGCAATTATTACAGTTAAGAAATAAATTTGCTGAAATTAAAGAAGAAGTTTTAGTTGAGAACATTTCAGATTTACCCGTTTTATAGCAAGAAACTGTTAAAAATTGTTTAATGGCTGCAAGAGTGAAGAGTCCTAAGCAACGTCGATATTCCGTTGAATGGATATATGAATGCCTTTTAATGATAATTAAAAGTAGTTCACTATATGAACACGTTCGGAAAAAAAATATTCTACCTTTACCATGTAAAGACACTTTAATGAGATACATTCAAAAACTTGATAGCGCCTTTGGATTTCCGAAGGCGATTTCTGATACCCTGAAATTCAAAGGTTCACGTATGGAAATCTATCAAAAGGGGCACTTTAATATACAATTCTTACGGCTCATTTGTTAACAAAACAATATTGATATTATGTTAATTATACATAAAAAATATATTTTATAGGTACGTTGTCAGTTGACGAAATAGCCCTTAGCGAAGTCATTGCATAATTGCATTAAACCGAAAAACATTGCTACTGGAAGGTTTTGTAGACCTTGGGGAATATACGCCTGACCACTTGAGACACACTAGAGCTGACCATGCGTTGGTTTTATGTTTCAACCCTTTCAGGAAAGTGGGTGCAAGTTGTGGGTCTATTTTTAAGCAAAGATTCAGTGACCAGCAAAATTCTTCAAAAATTGCTATTAGAATGTACAATTCAACTTGAAAAAGCTGGTTTTATGTTGACGGAATTGTATCAGATGCAGCCCAATGGAATCGCGGTCTATGGAAATTGCTTGGCATACGGGATAGAAATTATAATTGTGAACATCCGTACAATTTTTCTCGGCGTCTCTGGTTTTTTCTGATTTTCCACATTTATTAAAAAATTTAGGAACAAAATTATGGAACAGCCTGCATTCTGGGTAATATTGTAATATCGATAAACTGAAGTAATTTTTGTATTAATTCTTACAAACTCCGGAATTTAGAGACACATTAATTTATAATAAGAAAGGAAATCATTATCACTACCAAATTTTATAGATGTTCAGTCACCCGTGCGGGTATATTATTGCCGGAGGAAAGGTATAAACGAAGAGTTATGGAGTACAGATGTATCACTTGTCGAAAATTGAGACATTTGATCCAAAAACGTAAAACACTGATAACAAATGAAGAAGTTCGATGGATGAATTTTAAACATAGTTATAAACGTAGAAAGCTCAATCGAGTTGTTCAAACGGCAAAGTTTTGTTTTTATTAAAATTTTAAATTGCATTACACAATTAAAAAATATTAATTGCTAATGAGCACTGTGAAATTGAAACCGCGTAAAGTTGTATTTATGTATTTGCTTGAAGTTTTAAACTTTATGTACGACAATTTCTAAAAATGAGAAATTTTGATAATTTATTTTTTATGAATATGATTAATATTTTTATCTTCAACGTTGGACGTTGGCGTGATCGTTTCAAATAGTTTGTATTTATTTTCTCAACATTTTTGAATGTTTCCTTTTTAGAATAAGTATTTAAAATGGCAATTATTACAGTTAAGAAATAAATTTGCTGAAATTAAAGAAGAAGTTTTAGTTGAGAACATTTCAGATTTACCCGTTTTATAGCAAGAAACTGTTAAAAATTGTTTAATGGCTGCAAGAGTGAAGAGTCCTAAGCAACGTCGATATTCCGTTGAATGGATATATGAATGCCTTTTAATGATAATTAAAAGTAGTTCACTATATGAACACGTTCGGAAAAAAAATATTCTACCTTTACCATGTAAAGACACTTTAATGAGATACATTCAAAAACTTGATAGCGCCTTTGGATTTCCGAAGGCGATTTCTGATACCCTGAAATTCAAAGGTTCACGTATGGAAATCTATCAAAAAAGGGGCACTTTAATATACAATTCTTACGGCTCATTTGTTAACAAAAACAATATTGATATTATGTTAATTATACATAAAAAATATATTTTATAGGTACGTTGTCAGTTGACGAAATAGCCCTTAGCGAAGTCATTGCATAATTGCATTAAACCGAAAAACATTGCTACTGGAAGGTTTTGTAGACCTTGGGGAATATACGCCTGACCACTTGAGACACACTAGAGCTGACCATGCGTTGGTTTTATGTTTCAACCCTTTCAGGGAAAGTGGGTGCAAGTTGTGGGTCTATTTTTAAGCAAAGATTCAGTGACCAGCAAAATTTTTCAAAAATTGCTATTAGAATGTACAATTCAACTTGAAAAAGCTGGTTTTTATGTTGACGGAATTGTATCAGATGCAGCCCAATGGAATCGCGGTCTATGGAAATTGCTTGGCATACGGGATAGAAATTATAATTGTGAACATCCGTACAATTTTTCTCGGCGTCTCTGGTTTTTTTCTGATTTTCCACATTTATTAAAAAAATTTAGGAACAAAATTATGGAACAACCTGCATTCTGGGCAATATTGTAATATCGATAAACTGAAGTAATTTTTATATTAATTCTTACAAACTCCGCGCTCTGTTACAACATGAAAATTATTTAAAAGCTAATCTAAAAATGGCATATAAATTGACTCCTCACCATCTTAAACCCGAGGGCTACCAAAAGATGAATGTTCCATTAGCTACAGAAGTATGTGCATGAATGTATATGAAGTACTGTATGTGAATCTATGATTTACAATAAAGTACTTAAAATAAACCTTGATAACTCAATATCAATAATCAATTTCTTAAAGCTATTCTCTGAGTCTGCCTCAAATGCAATGAAGATATTGAAAGATGAAACCAATTCAAGTGAATTACATGACTGACAGTACCATAACTTTTATCGAGAAATTAAACAAATTAATTAAAGCTCCCGCTGATGCTTTAAGACCTGTTGATGTTAATGTTTCGAGAAAGGTACACCCTAAATATTCTTCAAACGATTTTGTTGGATTATTTGAAATTTATTATTAATAACTCGCCATAACTTCTTACTTTTTGATAGGCTATTTGTTGACTTCGATACTTTCGTAAGGAATTGGGAAAAATAGAAGAAGCTAAACGAAGGAAAAAAGATGGTGAGTCAATCGACGTAGAGAAGCTGAAAAGCTTCTATTTGTCAATAACAACAAGTACCCTGACTGGACTAAAAATTTCCCTTGGATCTACGTAAGAATTAATAGATTTTTTACATTACGAATGTAATTACGATTATCTAATGACCTCTCGATTAACACAAGATATGCTTGAAGTGAGGTTGTTGTGAATTTTTCGTTACTGTTTCACTAATAAGTTTAAAAGTAACTCTTAAGAAAATTTGTCTTCTTCAATATAATTGTAATTAATTCTAATCATTTAATAACGCAATTATATAATTTTAAAAACTTTTTGGTATTGCTAAGAAGTGCGTGTGGGTCCAATGATCATCCTGACCCTATTTTATTTTCACAAATGTTCCGATTGCTCTGCTCCTTTTCATTGGCAACACCTCCAAAAGGATCCAATGTGACTGCAGGAGAGTTGTTATGTTCCTTAATGCAGACTAGGGAATTGTTTGAAGCAAGTAATGCAAATAAGGACAACTGGAGCAAAAAAACTTATTCAATCATTGAAAATGCATCTGGAAATCTTAGCAATACAGAAGGAAATTCCAGTGATGACAATGACAATGAAGTAGTATTAAGCTCGGTGGACCATGATTATGACATTGCTCAAACTAGCAACTATGTCATTTCCTATATTGCGGGATATAAATATATATAGCCCGTAAAATAGGTAGATTTTCCAAATGCTTCGATTGTACGAAAACTATGCACACAACAACAGTGAAAGCTCGTGACAAATATATAACATATATGGACAAAGGGGCGTTAATTTATCCAAGTGAATCGTTGTTTCATTTAATTTCAAGATTGGAAGAAATTGTGCTAATGGTGGTAGGCACAAAAACAGTCAAAATTGATACCATGTTTGAAATACTGGACGACGTTTTAAAAGGGAAAATCACAATTTTTGTTGGCTGTGAAGACCACAAAAAAGATTTAACCAAAAAAATAATTAATAATTTTTTAATAATGCGAGGACATTTTCTAGCCAAATGTTTCAACAAAAGTGCGACCGAGAGGACAGTTCAAACTAAAAAATGTCGGAAGCTTTCTAAATTATATTAATAAAAAATTATAGCAATTTGTATTTATTTACTTAATTTATTTATAAACCTTTTCTTCGCATTCATCTTTTTTTATAATTTTTGAATAAAATGGTGCGGTAATATCTGATTTTTTTAGCTTTTCAGATTATCTCTTGTTTCATTTTGATTTTTTTCCGGCGCATAGTGGCGCGCTCTATTGACGAATGTTCTGTTCCCTAGATTTTGACCATTAATTTAACATGACGTTCGGTCTCCTGTGTATCTATACTTCGTGTTATCTGTGATCACTAAGAAGTATTGCATGTGACACATTTCGGAGTATTTTAGTGGGTGGCTAAAGTGCATGGAAACGAAGATACTTTGGTCACCCGAGCTGAACCCCACACATCGCCCTATCACTAGGGTGACAGTTCTGTTCAGGAGAATTTTTTGCGCCGACTATAAAATAGGCAGGAACAAAAAAATAACACATTCCAAACTTTTTTGACAGAACAAAGTCTGTTGAGTCCGCTAGAATATTACAAAGTGTAAGTGCAGCCATATTTTGCCCATATTTCAGTACTTTCTTTTGGTTTAGGGTTTCATATAAAATCCGTCAATAAAAATTAAGTAGCGGGAAAAGTAACTCACAAGGCTTACCAACAAAATGAATATTTTTACTTAAGTAAAACTTCTATATTTTACACCCCCAAATTTCAATTTAAAAATTGCTTTTTGGTCCAAATTAAGAAAACTGGTTTCTAAATTGGACCACGCGGTTTCCTAAATTGACCATGTGCTTTCAAACGGCAATTGGACACAATAGGTAAATTTTAGATTTAGAACTAAATACAAGTATATTTTGTATAAAACCAAAGTGCGTACTTTTATACACTGATCATTTTGAAGATTTGTGCTCGTCCATGCTTCTTTCTAGGAGGTCACAAAAAAAAAAGATATACGTTTTCCTGTTAAAATCTGGTGTCTGTTCGGTCCCAACTTGGGTAACCTGTGGTTCTTAATTAGTTAGACACTGTCCTACGAGATGGGGGGAATATCATAATATCTACGCCAAGTTAATATACGAGTAAGCTACTTGAGATTCTAATCCTACGTAGACGAAGTCGCCGTCACATGCTTGTTTTATATAAAATAATCAATACAGAGAAGAAAAAATTGCTCCGGAGAAGCTAATTAATGAGCAGGATGTGCTCAGATATATTTTTGGTTGTTGAAACAATCCAATAGGCAATTTAGCTCCAGCTGATTGTCAATTACGGTAAATCTCGTAGATAATTTATTCGTGAGCAACTTCTTTGGAGCAAGCCATCATTACGAAGATACCATCCCGTTCTGTTCTCGGCCGGATTGTCCTTACTGATCTGCGCATATGGTCAAGCGTATGATACTCCGTTGTACGTGTTGGGTCACATATAGATTTATGGTGCCGAAATAGCGACTACGAATTGTCCACTGTCTCCAAGAGATCGTTGTCATAAAATGTACCTCAATTTGACATGAAAGTTTGGTTCGCCCAATATCGTCTCTGTGTTTGTCTCGTGTATCTATACTTCGTGATCTCACTAAAACTCGAAAACTGATTTGGCTAATTTTAGTTTCGAAAAAACAAAAGAATTTAGAAGGTAAGAAAATTATAAGTACCTATATATACTCATTATATTCATAGTGATGTCATACAAAGTACATACAAAGAATTTATAGATGGTTGAATACACATCATATAGATATGTTCTGTAAATACCGATAAGAACACACAACACACTTTAGTAAAATTGATGTAGAGACAGACGGCAGTGATAAATTGCCGAACAGGCGTTTAAAAAGTGGTAGCAGTTGTGTGGTAACTTTCAAACATTCAAATATCACCGTTAAAATGAGGTAAGAGAAAAATTATTTTATAATAGATATATGTAATTTTAAAAGTTGATATTTTAGTTTTATCAGACATGAATTACCTATTGCCACGAGAGATCGGTCCTTAGAATGTCAACAGAATTTAGACTTTAAACACCCGGATGAGAGTTGTTTCGGGGTTAATTGAGGCTATTCGTCGGGAAACCAGAAGGGGGTCTTAAAAATATTAAAACCATAGTCAAACGAAATAAAAGATGAATATCTTTCGCTGAGTGGGAAATATTTATTGGGGCAAAATATTCCAATTACTTATAACATCAGCGAGTTCATTGGTAAGTCTTTGCTTACATTGCGGTTTTATTCTCCTGGTATTGGAAAGCAACTGCAAATAGGTGGCTATAAAACAAATATATTTAAATATATGATGAGACATTTGGACGCAATTTTAAACTGTCAAGATCCAACTAATGAAATATTATTATATCATATCAATCAAGTAATATTTATAGTTAATGATGTAAAATACTTGTATCGTCGTGAATTTAAAATGCTGCCGTGGATCATAATAATATCTTATATTATTTAGTACAATATATTAAAAATTGACTCATATCAATTATTTAATGACATATGATAACTTCATTGATTATATTAAATTATTCAAAACTCGCCTAGAGAATATCAATTCTACAAAAATGGTGCAAGATAAGAATATACAAAATATATAAATATGATTTTGAAGATACTTATGATATTACAAGACCTACTTACGATTTGAAAAGAAAGGAGAAGTTCTTCTCATCTGACAAAATAAGTTTTCTGAGGAAATATACGAATATTGCAAGTGGTTGGTGAATGCTTTAAAAGTACAGACTTAACTCCAAGTATTACTTCTCGTCTAAATAAAGGTTTGAGATCGCAATATTCAAACGAACTTAGAGACTTGGCTGAGCTAAGAAACACTTTATCTCACTTAACAGCAATACCAGACTGTACTCAAGATACCATAAACCATGTAGAAGAGTGCACCACAAAAAAGAAAAATAATTTTAGGGCTATAATGACAATATTCATAATAAATATGCCCAAGGCAAGTGGCGACGGGAAACAATTGCATTCTAAATGGCTTGAATGTATAATGCTATCCAACCTTTAATTCTTTTTTCCAAAAACGGCCAAATTAATGCTATAAAGCAAGAAATTGCAAATGCACCACAATTGTCAAATACTGATTGCTTAAAACAATTAGAAAATACTCTCAATCATAATAAAAACCAAGATTATATTGAATTTTAGCTGAAAAACAACCCAGATTGAATGGAAATTTTAAATGGTTCACGGAAAATTATTCGACACTAACTGGCCGACAACTCAGAAACCATCTTGCACATGGAGATCCAATTGTGGAATTAATGGACGTGGATATAAAAACGGCAGCCAGACACACAGCTATAATGCTGATTAAAGAACTGCAAGTTGAGAGCAGAGATAAGATCGAAAAGATAACAAAAATGCCCGCAATTGATGTGATGGAGAATATTGACTATTGTCAAATAACAAATTTTAACAAAGAAAAGAAAATGTTTGATATTACTACTGAAGGTGACGTGCTCGTATTTAGAGACTACTCAGAAACTATTAGCTCAGAATGGGTGAACTGGCAAGATTTCAATAAGAAGAATGCATTTCAATGTGCGGCAGAAAACCAGAATGATTATCTAGTGTTATTAGAATTTATTCAGAATAAAAATCCAAACTATATTAAACAATTAAAGACAGACTATAATTTACTATTTCAAGTTGTAGATCAAAACAATTTTAAAATAGCAAAACGCATTACCGAATTGTATTTTTGTGAATTGCTAGGGATCAACAGAAAACAATTGCAACCCAATGATAATAATCATTTATTGGGATTGTGTGGCCAATTAATAAAAATTGTATTGGATATCATTAATTACATCGAATTTGAAGACCTGCACAAGCATATACCTATCAATAGTATGATTGCTTCATTGTATCATATAGCGAACATATGTGAAGCAAAAAAAATGACGAAATATCTTATCAGCATTGGAAAGAACTTCAAATTCAAAAATACATGTAATAGACCAGTGTTAACAGTGGACCAAGAAATTGAGTTCAACTTGGCAAAACTTAATAACAACAAGAATAAAATATTTATATAGAATTATGGAAGATTATATAAAGTGGACAGTAGATAAATTAAAAGATTATATAAAAAATGCATCATATATGTTGGAACCAAGTTTTTTCAAATATGATTTGAATTGCTTGTGTTTTGCTGTCAAAAGTAACAACCCCGAAATGGTTAAACAAGTGTATCAATGCCTTTCAGTATTGTTACATACAAAGGATCATAATGGCAAAACACCTTTAGAAGATGTTGCCGCCAAGGGGAATCGTGTGGAGGAATTTTATGTTTTAATAAAACAGGTAACCTACTATACTCGTATGAGATATTAATTTTTTTGGACAGTTTGAAAATTCTTATATTTTAGGCTATCAATAATTCTTCAAAACATTCACAAATGTTTAAGACCGTGGTCAATAAAATTATTAATTTGCGTGAGTCATATTTTTGGAGATAACAAAGGCGTGGCCCAATAATGAGCAGTGTATTACTGTCTACCTAGAAATGAGTGAACATGTCTAATGCATTTTTTCTAGTAAATTGGCGCAAAGCATTTTAGGGTACTGCTAAGTCCAATGAGCACTTAATTAACATCTGGGCACAAACAGTGATTTACACCATTTCAGTTTCCTGATAAGTCGCACGTTTTCAAAGAGTGCATATGGTTTGTTATAGACATGTTTGACATGTTTGACCAAAAATTGACTGCCCAACCGTAATATAATATCGCAAACCAATTAAAATCCATTTTAACCCATAAGGTATTAAGGTTCTCATTTTGGTTATTTTCGAATTATTTTCTATGGTAATCCAAAACATAGTCCAAATAAATAAAAAAAAAACAATCCTGCCGAATTTTGGTTTTTAATAGCAAAATTATGGCGGCTCCAAAAAAAAGTTGTGAGCATATGTTGTCAACTAATTTATTCATTTTCATTCTTGTTTTGACTCGCATTAGTTTAATTTCTTTTCAATTTAAATTCTGATGTTTCTGGATCATATCGAAATTGTTGCTCTCTATGGCCAATAAAAGAAAGTCGTGAAATTGATTATAACTTCAGTTTTGTCCTTGAATAATGTTTCAATTAATAGAGTTAGCAAACGATCATAAAAAACTTTTCGTAGAGCGTTAAATTTCCTGCAGAAATATGTCAAACTCATACTAAAAAAATTGGTCTTTTGAAGAGTTACAAAATTCAATAGATACCGAAGAATTTTACCAATGTTATTTCCATTTAGAAATGTGGCTGCTGTGAATATTACCAGAATTTTTTTATAGTTGAAACCAATTTAAGACTATTGTCAAAAAATATTTAAAAAAAAACAACAAATAAGGACCACTGATGACTTTCGTCATTTTAGGATAAATGGACAGGTAGACAAATTTAACGAATATATGCAAAATGCCGCAGACCTGTTAGAGCCAAGTCGCTTCAGCGATGGAATGAATTGCTTGCATTTGGCGGTCCTAAGTTTCAATCCCGAGATGATTAAGCAAGTATATCTACGCTTCCCCCAGTTATTAATGACCACAAATGTCAAAAATAAGACACCTTTAAATATTGTTTTAAAAAGAAAAATATTTCCGTACTTAAGACGATAATTGTTGAAGCGACAGCCAGCATAGCGTCCGTTCCTACGGTTGTTGTTGTGAGGATCCGAGCGTGCGCGAAACAACTGAGCGACGACAGTCGTGATCAAGTGTGCGTCTCTAGAAAGTGTTGACGGTTGTGGCATGATTATATTTTTCAGTATCGATCTCACTTGCGATCAACACATAACCACAATAATAAATTTGGTACCAGGTGGAACTGGCAAGACCTTCCTCATGTCAATAGTTTTAGCCACTGTTCGTGCGAGATCCAACATTGCGGTTGCAGTTGCATCTTATGGAATAGCAGCCACATTGATGGAAGGATGCCGTACAGCTCACTCAGCATTAAAATTGCCGTTAAAAAATTTTCAAACTATTGAAGAACCAACATGTAATATTGCAAAACACTCCGTAATGGCCAAAGTTTTATCAACATCAAAAATTATCATCTGAGATGAATGCACAATGGCGCATAAACATGCATTGGAAGCACTTAACCGAACAAAAGGTCTACGCAATGACTCAAGATGTTTTGGAGGTGCAATGATTTAACTGTTTCCGCCAAATACTGCCAGTAATTCCAAGATCAACTGTTGCCGACGAAATAAACACGCTTGTCTCAAATCATCAAATCTATTGCGATATATGAAGAAGCTTGAGCTGAGAATAAACATGAGAGTTGCATTGCTGAACGATACATCTGGAGAAGATTTCTCTGAGCAATTGCTGACTATGGGTAATGGGTCGAGTACCTGTCGACGAATCGAGCTGATTGCGAGCGGATTGATTTCATTTCCTCCGAATTTCTGTAACTTTGTCTCATCGAAACACGAACTCATCAGGTATCATTTTACTAACCACAAAAACAATGAATGGTTGAGTGAGCGATCAATTTTGGCAGCAAAGAATCTAGATGTAGATGACTTAAACTACATAATTCAGAATGAGATCACTGGTACACTGCATTCATCCAAATCTATTCACCGTGTAACAAATGAATGAAGTTACCAACTATCCAATTGAAAGTTGGTTCCGCAGTAATCATGCTTAGAAATAAACCAACCAAAACTGTGCAACGAAACGCGTTTGGCGGTAAGCAAATTAATGTGATCTACGCAACGAACGAACCTCTATAATTATCGTAAAATGAAATGATAAACCCTTAAGCAAATGGCAGCTTAAGGCGATAGTTAAAGTTGGACGAAGTATATTTTTCACTTTATAAATAAACTATTAGTTAACCCGGCAAACGTTGTTTGCCATATAAAAATATTTCAAGTTTTAGATAGCCTTAGTGTAGACAAAATCAGTAACATACATATTGCGGCAAGTGGGCATGTAAAACTTGATTAACTGAACTAATCGTGCCGTAATAATTTAAAATTAATACTGAAAATCAAAACATAAAATGAATCGCAAAATGTTGGTAAATCATCACCAACACCCAGACCAGCGCTAATTTTTCTTAATATGTTTGTTAAAGTCTAAGGGTGGTTTCTTTACGGCGACAAATTGAATAATTACCGGAAAAACGGTAAAGCTGAATTTTTCTTTTTTCAATCGATTAAACCCCGACAATTCCGGGGTGTTTTAAAGTGCGTCCCACTACAATTTTATTCTTGAAAGGCAAGTGAAAGTTCGTGGAAGCGCCGCCCCGTCAACGGGGGTGACCGTTCTCGTTCAGGAGAATTTTGTAACTGACTATAGAGAGGAACAAAAATCTGCCGCCACATCCAAATTCTTAAATAGAACGAAGTCTGTTGGGTCCGCTAGTTATGAATAAAATAGTAATAATTAATAGTTAATATGTTAAGTATTGAGATAGCGCTAAATATGATAATTGTAAATCGTGACTACCTCCTGATACACATACACCATGCCTGCAATGATGGCCGTGATAACCGTGCAGGGAGGAGAGAGTAGTTCCTATTGTGTGGTTGAAATATTACACCACCTCTGCCCTATTCCTTCGAGCGGGATGAAAACGAAATTACCAAAATAGCCCAGTCATTTTGGTAGTTTTATGGAAAATATGCGGGATTGCTGAAAATTGGTATTCATAGATTTCGAGGTGCCTTTACGTACTCGCAACTGCCGCACCTCGTATCTTTGTCTGCTTGAGCCACCATCTTTGAAAATGGTGCCAAAAAAAGTGTTTTTTGACCATACTCCTTTCCGGACTCATTTTACGATATATATATATCTATATAATAAATTAAACTAGAGAAAAGTACCATTTTCTTGTAACACTAGTCGGCCGGCGCCGCAAAATTACTTCAACATTAATTTTGCCAAAACTCATTTCCACACCACACCACAGAGTACGCAGGCGTTTATTTTTACCGGCGGTATCCCGCAAGGGCCTAATCCACACGCACTATTCCGGGCAAAATTCACGGATTGTTCTCCGATACGCCTTCGCGATTGACCACAAGTGTTCTGATAATTGTCTTCAGGACCGATCGAAATATCATGCGCGCAAATTTCTTTCCAAATTATCCGTGGATAATACTGTCGCCAACGTACCCCGGTTCTTGAGTTCATCATGCCGCGTGCTCAAACGGTAATCGCTTCTTCCCTCCTTATCGCTACTATCTTGGGGTGATGGAACTCTGCGAATTATCAAGAAAAATCGCAATTTGTTCAGATAATACGGAGTGAACTTCATTCCAGTTCCTTCTGCAGCCGGCTTTCTGACACTTTGCATTTGGTAAGATATTAGTTTTTAATACCACGTTTCGGGAGCTGGGCCTCGGGCGGTACAACAGGAATTACCTATCGGTTTTTCTTCCATCCCCATTTCTGTTCTTGCATTTAGTTCATTCCTAATACTCACTATTTAACTTGGTGCTAAAAGTTCTCCTGAAACAAATGTTGTCGGACTGCAACTTCAGTTGGTGGTGTAAAGGATGCAATATTAAATTTATTTTGTATGCTGATTTTGTGAAGTTGGTATACCCATAGATGCTTGAAGACATATTTTGCTGCTTTCTATACATCAACAACTGTATAATTTAAGATGAAGAATTCGCCAGCTAAAGCAATGCGATCTCTGTACCAGCCTCATTGAATATCTTGATAACTTCCTTTTTAAATCTGCGTTGATTTTGCGAGTACATTAATTTTAATTTTCCTGATGAAAGAGTGCAGATGTTACCACAGCCACAAAAAAGCATGTAAGAATTAAGGTGATCTGCCGCTGTTTTTGACGATCATTGGTTGAATATAAAATTTGCTGCAAAATTTTTCCTTTTCTGGTTTTGTAAATATGTTATATGTTTGCGCTACTGATAGTGCCGTTCAAGGAATAAGAAGACTGGCACTTTCGCCGCCGATAACATGCACGAATTGTGATGATTCGTGTACTGGTTGCGACCAACTATGAATACCAGTTTCGCCGAGGCATTCAACAATCGCCTACCCCCAATCATCATTACATGCGCTCAGGACGTTCTCTGAAATAGTGTTTCACGATAATTATGTACGCTATACACAATATTTCGATCACCAAATGCGTTCATTTTGTTTCGCTGCAAATTTGGCTGTTATTTCAGAAAGCGCAAAAATAATGATTTTAAAATGAGTAATGTTGAGCATCGATCGCAGTTAGGTTGAAAAGTCGTGCACAAATACTCTTTTAAACGCAATGATTTTGTTTCCTCATTATTATATCGTTTCTGGACATATCCCAAACTACCAAATGATCCTTCAATCCCTCTTGCAAGTAATTCATATCCTTTCTAATGCCTTGACTTACGAAAGGTCTCCGCTTTTCTTCACTCCAATCACTTCAATTATCTTGCAATGAAGTTCACAAATAAACAATTTACGCTATCAACCATGGCAGCATCAAAACTGCAAAACAACGACTATTCAGAAAATAAATATCAAATAATGACTCAATGAAGAAATAATAAATAAAAGTAAACTCACATGAAACTTTCAAACAAGCGAGGGGAGCAGGGATTAAGTTATCATAAAGCAAGCAAAAATAGTATCAAGGACGACCTTGAAAATGAGTTTTCTCTTTGACAAAAACGAATGCTTATAGACTCTTCAGGCGCCCGTACAAACCATATTAATTTTACAAGAAAAGTACGACATAAATTATAGGAAAATTTCTTTTCTTA